CCTATGATCTGTACCTTTAGTAACTGCCTTAAAAAGTAAATCGAAGGGGTGGTCTGTATGGCATAATAAATCTGTTTTACTAAACCCAATAAGGAGTTGTTTTCCCATTTTCACAAAAAGTATGCAATTCTCTTAACCTAATAGGATGCAGACGTACTTGAGTTGTGACAAAGAGAACTTTGTGGAAATTAGACGCCTAATTTAGCATTTGTGAAAAATGGGCCTATATGTAAGCATTTATTTTTACTTTATTTGTGTTCTACTTCTAAGTGCATCATGGCCAGAAATAACACAGGGAAGCAGATTTAGATTTGATTGGTGTCTAGATGAGATACTCCACGACTAGCCTTACCAGTTGGAAAGATTTGGAAGACAATCCAAGTGGCAGGTCCTGATTGAGGAAACTGATAACACATGTTTTTTTCATTTACCCAATTAAATTATGTATTCTACCCAGTAGACATTGACTGCCTGTTTCTCTAATGAACACCCTGAGCTTATCCAACAATGGTAAATAAATGTAACAAAAAGGAGAGGCAAAGAAATATGTTTAATTCTGTAGGTTTCCTAAACCAAATATTTATTTCTGGATCCATCTCAATTCTTTGGATTAACTTCTAAGAATAGACAGCCAGACCAGGAGAGTGGCCAAGAGCTGCAATTAAATATTTTCTGGGACAAGGACAGAAGGCAACAGTAGGATGGGTTATGTTAGGCACACGGACAGAGCCAGGAATTGGGTATGTCTTGTTTAATGAAAAGAAGAACTAGGGGTGACATGATAGCAGTGTTCCAATATCTCAGGGGCTTTCACAAAGAAGAGAGGGCCAACCTATTCTCCAAAGCACCTCAAGGCAGCACAAAAAGCAATGGATGGAAACTAATAAAGGAGAGAACCAGCCTAGAACTAAGGAGAAATTTCCTGACAGAACAATTAATCAGTGGAATGACTTGCCTCCAGAAGTTGTGGGTGCTACAAAACTGAAAGTTTTTAAGAGATTGAACACACCTTTTATCTGAAATAGTATAGGCTTTCCTATTTAAGCAACTCTGTTATTCTGTTAGTTGATTTACTGTTTTTGCAGGACAGCTGATGGAAGAGTGGGAATTGTAGGTCTGTTTTGGACTTACACCACAGGTTTAGTTGGTTTAGTTCATGATCAGTCACAGAATGATGGGGCCTTTGAAGCCAGGTTTTGGCAATTGTATTACTGAAATGGTTCATATATGGCAACAAAGATTGCCGCCTTTAAAGTGTTATTCAAGGGTATCCTTCTGCATCGTGCTTTGCAGGAAGGAACTATTTGCCATTCTACTTCAGGAAGCAAATTGTTTTTAGATAATACCATGTCACTTTATGTTACATAATGAATTACAGGAGGGATGTAAATGATACATCGATTAGGGATGAAGATCTGTTGATACCATGAATAAGAGCCTTCTTGGTGGTGGTCTCTTTTCTATGGAACATCATTCCCCTCAAGATAATGGTTGGCTCCCACCCTATTGCTTTTTCAAAAGTCCCTAAAGATGTGGTTTTGTCATCAGGTCGGAGAACCACAAATGGAAATGGAGCCGATCAAGTGGTTGCTTTGATTGTTTTGCTGCTGCCATGGTGGAGGGGGATAGGGGTTTTATGCTGTGGCCCTTTAATGTTGTAACCCACTCAGACTCATTGATGTCTGATCAGGATGTCATAAAAAATTATTTAATAAATAAAAAAATATGAGCAAATAATTTTTGTAATTATATAAAAAATAACAATTAAAAATGTATCCGACAATGAAGACAGCAACATTAGCAAATCTGAAAACCTGTTTTTAAATATATTTAACTCAAAAAGACAAGAGTGCTTTTCAGATTTTTTGTCTCCCTGTTTGTTTTGACATCTGTCTGTCTGTCTGTCTGTCTGTCTGTCTCTATTGCAATCCAGAATTAAGGAGAAACTTCCTGACAGTGAGGACAATCAACCAGTGGAACAGCTTACCCCCAGAAATCGTGGGTGCTCCATCACTGGAAATTTTTAAGAAGAGACTGGACAGCCACTTGTCTGAGATGGTATAGGTTCTCCTGCTTGAGCTGGGGGCTGGACTAGAAGACCTCCAAGGTCCCTTTCAGCTTCTATTCTATTCTATTCTATTCTATTCTATTCTATTCTATTCTATTCTATTCTATTATCTTCTATTCTATTATCTTCTAATGATTATTATAATAATATTACCAATATAAATCTGAAATCTTTATTTTAAGCAAAGAAAGATGTGATTTTTAAAACTTAGAGGCCTACTTGAATTGTTTATAACACCAATTGCTTAGGATACAGAACAGTTCAACTGACCTCCCTAGAATCATTTGAGGCCTCCTTTTCCTGCCTTGAAAAGCTGATTGTCTCATACAGAAAGACTTCTTCACAATCCTAATTCTCAACACTTTGAAAAATTAAACCAAAGCTTTTCTTCTTTTGATATTTTCATGAAGCAAGTTTTGTTTGTTAGTAGTGCAGTGGAAGAAGTTTTCCAGTAGTTTTCCAGCCCCCACTGATTTGGTATATATTATAAAAACATCATTTGGAAAAGAGAAGTCTTGCTCAAAACTGTTCAGATGTTCACTTAATCATTTTGTGAAAATCTTCACAGCTATTGTGTGATGCAGTCTCACACCAGTCCTTTCCTCCAATGGACATATTTTGTATCTCTGGCTCTACAGCAAAGCAAGAAAGAGAAATGAGGTCCATATGAGAGGGAAGGAGAATAAATATCATCGCTGATCAGCACCCAAAATTTAAGTATCCCTCTTGGACTTTTTTTCATTTTCGTATTCTGTTCTGTTTCTGGCTTCATGCTGGCATTATGTTTTCAAGAGCCTGCATACCCTGAGATTTTTAAAGACTCTGAGAGCCTGGGAGCAAAATGCTCACTTGAGTATTCCTTTCCACTTTCTTTTGGCTGCATCACAGCATCAATGGTATTTTTTTCTCCCCCCCCCCATTCAAGTCAATACCCCTGGGCTCAGGAACACATGAGGATATGTTGATTGAATATTAGGCACACAAACATATTAGCAATTTATATTTGGGAATGGGGGTTAGGAGAAGAGAACTTGGGAATGTGGGTAGAAGGGTGGATTTGAGGAAAAGTTTAAATCTTAGGATTAGGAAAATTTCCGTCAATCAAATGTAGGGCCTGGGAGGCAAGAAATAATGTGTATAGCTATGTTGTAATATTAAAGGAATGAAACTATTTCTCGTGAATGAAGGCAAATATACATGTCCCAGGATAATGTTGCAGGATCCAATCTGATCAGGAACAGAGGTTTATTCTTCCAAGCTTTTGCATTCGTGCTGAAGTCCATCCTCAGGAAACCTCTTACTCTCCAGAATGTGTGCACTAGGCTGTTCTACTTCTGAATTCTGAATTTCTAAATTAAAAAAGGTTTTTTTTTTTTGTGACGGTGGTAGTGGTGATGGCAAAACTGAAAAAAACATCCATTTGTAGATACGCTTGAGTACATTTGATTACATTTTGATTTTGAAAAAAGGAAGGAAAATAGAGTAGGACCTTTGCAACAGAGAATGTACATGATACATAGTGGTAGGACTTGGATCTGAGTCATGGAAGTGAAATGAGCAACTATATAAATTGAATAAATAAATAAATAAAAATCTGACATGTTATTCTAGAAATTAGTGATCAGGAAGAAAGCTAACTTAGTGGAGAGGTGGAGTAATATCAAACTATTTGTTGTCAAAAAGTTGTCAAAACTGGCAATTATAATATGAAAAGACCAGGATACATATTATATTCACTATTACAGTAAAGCTAAACAAACAAACAAAAAGGCAAGTAAGGATGCCAAAATTTGGTTAATGAATAAGAGCCTTTAGCAAAGGAAGTCAGGAGCAAGGTTTTCTTCATGAAGGTGTGGGTGTAGAAAAGAGGAGGCTTCTCATGAAACAAACTACAAGTGTAGATAAAAGGGAAAAAAATCAGATACCATCTAGTAGGGAATATTTGGCATTTTTGAGGAAAGAAGTTATAGTGTCAACTAGAAATTGGAAAACAGAAGTTTCAGGCAGATCAAAGGAGAGATTAAAGGGAAATATTGTAATTAAACATATAACATCTTATGAAAGTCACTCCTAAAGCCTTTACCTCATACATTATTAATGGCTCACCTTCACAAGTCATTTGGAAACAGCCAACAAGAGATGAAAAACTGAAGATGAGAAGCTTCTGAAGTATATTCAAGGAGAGTGAGCAGAAATTTTCTCCCTGAATGGGCAGATTTTAATTACGTATCCTATAACGGGTCCTGATTTTTCAGAAGAAAATGCCTAAGGTATTTTAGCCTAAGGTAGGGAAATCTGGCTAGAATGACCTTCCTAAAGAAGATGACAGAATTGGTAGCGTTGCACTTTGTGACCTGAAGGCAAAAGTTAAATATCTGGCCCGGAACACTGTGGTAAAAGTGGTAGAAATAGCAGATCAATTCATTTGGGATACAAAACAATTAGGTTAACAAATATTGGGTTAACAAATCAGAAGCAAGGAAAGTATTTTATTATGTGGATTAGTCAGAGAAAGCAGTAATCCCTGAGAAAACATGTAATCCTGCTGGAAAGAAGGAACGACTTAAGCAGTGGTTAAAGAGGAAGATTTAAAATCCTTCTAGTCTGGAAAAAAAAGGTTGTGTCAGGTCTGACTATTACTCAAGGATCAACTACTATGGAAACAAACCAGAAATGTCAAAAAAATAATAATAAATAGATTAACTCAACTGAAGGACAGTGATATCGATGATGTGGTGTGTTTTTTTTATTACTAATGCTGAATACATTAATGATTACTTAACATAAAGGGTGAAAATTAGCCAGAAAAATATCAATAGATATATTTGTATAAGAAGCTTGAAGTCAAATATCATGGTAAAATTATCTGTACAATGAAGAAATGAAAGAGGCTTTATAATATGCAGGATTTTTTTAGGAGACTCCTTTGTACCTTTGTTGTGAGAAGTGATCTCAAGGCATCACTTGGCCACAGATGTCTATGTGCCCATTCTTTCATTCCTATAGTGGAAAGAAAAAGTGTATTTTATTAGCTTGCAGATTCTGAGATCATATCAAGGGAATGATGACAATAAGCTCACAAGCTTCTCTCTCAGATTAATATAGTTTCCTTTGATGGAGAAAACAAAACCACTTTTCACTAATCTCATTCTACGTTTGCAATAATGGCGAATATCGGTAGCTCAGCTATAGGATGAGGGTGAAGGTTCATTCTCCAAACATTTTTTTTCCATGCCATTTTCATAATTCATTCTGCCTCAGTGATGAAGCTCACTGAATGTTCTAAATCTCTTAAAATGTTGCTGTTTTATTTTATTTTCTCTCAGTTAATTTAAAAGAAATTGCTTTCAGACACTTCTAATACAGCCTATTTTTCTCATCCTTCCTTTTAAAGGGTGCTCTATATTTGACCATTTGAGCCAGCAATGTATATTGATGGTTGGTAAAGAATATCTAACATAAAAAATAAATCATCCTCAAAAGATGTAGCAAGAATGATCCTTTCACATTTGCTCTTATTCAGATATCAAGCTATGATTAAACACAAAAGATTTGAAATGGTAAAAATGTGCTTATGTGCCCGGAAATTTCTTCCACAGTTTAATCAAACTAACTGAAAAACTTAGATTTCTCTTTTACTTTCTCCCAGGAGACAAAAAACAAACAGAAGTTATAAAGGAAGACACTTCAGGATAACCAAACACTTTGTTCTTCAAATTTCTGCGCTCATAAAATAAACTTTTCATACAAAGTCTTATTTTAAAAGGGGATTGGGAGATTTCCAGATTTATGGGAACATTTTTTTCCATTTCAAAATAAATTGTGGCTCCTGAACTGCATTGTGACAGCCATCGTATACCAAGCATTTTTAACTCAGTCAGTTAATAAATCGTGAGATAACCATTTTGCGTTACTTTAACAGTGTGATGATGTAGGCTGAAACAATGTCAACAACATTTCGATAAGGGAAAATTAATTATCTTTAAAGTATTAGCCTCACAAACATAATAAAAAGCCCTGTTTATACTTTGAGGCAGAAAAGCTCCTCCCCCCCCATCTCATGAATACAATTAAAGCTATTCTAGCCAATTATTATTTTTTAATTATTGTAGTTAATCTTTAAACAATATTGCTATTTTAGACTTAATTTTGATCATTTAATTCTGCCAAGATAGGAATGCAATAAAGCTGTTTATGAGGTTATTGAATTCAGACATCATTAAGCCCAGCAGGAAGAAAAAAGCTACAGACTTTTTAAAAAGATAACAAGCCTTGAAGTGCTAAGGAATGAAAAAAATTATTAGAATTTTCATAGAAACACAAGATCTCGTGGCTGGTCTAATAATAAGGCCTCTTGTGAGAGGGTGAAATGGGAGGATTCAAAGATAAATAAGCAGCCTGACAGTATTTGAATTGTCTTACTCTCTGCCTTGAAAGTATCTTATAAAAATATACATCTAATGAAGATAGGATACAGGTTTAGCTGAATCAGTAGAATGTGTGGACACAATCCAACCAAAGATGAATGGTTTTGAATCCCTTATTTCACTAGGAGGATTAAGGATGTAGTAAAGACTCTCTTATTAGAATATGAGATTCCTGGAGTTGTGCAGCTTTCTAAATTTTGTACAGAAATAAATAAATGCATGCAAATCAAGGCTATACACAATTAATGAATGAAATTTACTCCCAGGTAAATCTGAATGAAAATGAGTGCACTTATCTTGGCTGGAATAAATTAGGAGAACATCAAATGAACTCTAACCTGGTCTATATAGCCCAGCAGCTATATGAACTGCAGCTGAACTTCCATCTGACACTTTTGTCATTGGTGAAAGTACAGCAGTATGGAAGTATAGCAGCTCTACTCTGAAATTCAATATGTCTCCTGGACAGTTTAATATCCTAACTAGGATTGAACTATACTTTCCCATCATTTCAAAAATCTTCAGGTTTCCATGACTCTACTATCTCATAAAGTTGGGGTGGCAGGAAAGACTTCTATCTTACAACGATGGCTTAAGGATAAGTTTACGATCTCACTGAGGAAAAAGCCTGAACTCAGAATAAGATTAAAGCAATTTCAGGGTGATTTTTGTCAACCTATTTAAAATGGACAAGACATCTCTAATTTGTCCCATCTTTATTTCAAAGTCCTTTGTAGAAGTGTGTGTCTTTCTGTATTTGTGATCAACAATGCATTCACATCTTTCTTTCAGGAGCTCAAGACAATATCGTACTCTATCTTACCATTTTGCCTCTGGAGAAAGATGGCAAAAAGAGAGAGAGAGGGAGGGAGAGAGAGAGAGAGAGAGAGAGAGAGAGAGAGAGAGAGAGAGAGAGAGAGAGAGAGAGAGAGAGAGAGAGAGAAATCTCTCTCCTTATCAGTCCTATCTGATTGTCACCCTGTCATCCTATTTGATTCTGAATGTAATCTACTACAAATGACCTAACAATTTATTTTTTTATTCCACTTCAGCTAATTTGCTCATCCAATTTTCCATTCCTTTCTTTCCCTTCCTCCTCACCATCCTTTCCTGTCTCAGGATCTTATATTCTGATTTTTTTACTTTGTTTAAGGACATTAATCTTTCTGTAATACTACTTTATAGATAGTCCACTTCCCTCATTCCTTCGAAAAATTAATTCAGTTCTGTTTTCCATTGAGCAAAACTTTAAATAACAATGCAATTGCATCACTTTTCCTTGTCTTTTGACCTTGTAGGCAGCATGTCAATTGTGACGATATGATTTTATTCATAGGGCAGTGCATGTATCCACATGTTCCCACATTATATTATGCAATCTCATCAGAGTAAGAGGATGGTACAGTACAGTCAGGCTGTCAATTACTTCAGTAGTGGGTAGGTGGAGATAATACTATAGGAGTGGCATGATTAAGCAGTCACCGTGCCATGAAGAAACTTCTGTATTAATTTCTATAACTTTTGGCATACTTCATATCCTAATAATGTTCTAGCTTTCCCACAAATCATAGCCCGTTCTGGTGAAATGGAAAGACTCTATTGGCACTTTAATAAACCACACTTCAATTTGAAGGAAAGTAACTTAAAACACTTGACATTTCTTTATGTGAAATGTGGCATGTCTCAATTCTTCATAATGCTCTAAATTTCTGGCAAAATTCATCCTCTTCTGATGAAAAAGAAAAATATTATTTGCACTGTTCTTGTGTGTTCTTCACATATTAGATAATGAGAGGGTGGAGCTCCATTTTTCTTGATTCATGCTCCAGAACAAGAAAAGAGTCAGGACAGGTTGCGTATCATGTCAATGTAAGATGGGCCTGGCCACATTTGAAACTGAGGATCTGGCCACAAAGCAGGGTTGGCTGGTTCACCAGCTGCCTTAGCCAAGAAATAAAAAAGAGGATTAAAAAAAATGGAAATGTATCAGTTCCAGAGAAAGGTCAGTGACTTCCAAGAACATAAGAAGAAATAAACTAATATATTTTGAAAAGGATTTTCCTTCTTGCAGTTTTAAGTGAAAATTCAGATTGAGATTTAAAGTGCTTATACTACTTTTTAGATCTAAAAATAGTAAATATGACACACATACCCTCACATGTATACATCCACACAAATGTGAAAATTCAAGAGTGTCCTTGAGGAATGAAATTATAAAACTGGAAGAACCGTAAAGATCATCTGCTCCAACCTCTCTATTCATAAAAGAAAACCACTCTACAATATTCCTAACAAATAGTCTGCTTCAAATCTCTAAGAAACTTGTTGAAAATGCATTGAGCTAAAAAGAAGGGCTAAAGTAGCTAGAGATTTTTTTTCATTTCATTTTTCATTTATGATGTTTGAAAAAAATTGAAGCCATTGTTCAAGTTTGTTTATTTCTCCCTATCTTTGCCATCTGATTGTCATTTCAAAGTCTATGTGTCACATCTGGTCCTTTTTATAAATTACATGGATTTTCCAGCAAGAGGAATCTTCAGCAAGTTTCATCTTCATAGTTACAACTGGAGAGCACATCATTTAGTGACAGAAATTCCAGTTCCAATTGTGGTTGAAAGTCAAAGGCTACCCATGTAGCACGCTTCCAATTTAAAAACTAAGTTTAAGGGCACATTTGCACATTCACTTGCATTATCACCAGTATGGGTCACCAACCCTGCCTGATTAATCTGTTTCAAACTGCAGTTTTCTTATTTAAGCCAACTTAATCCTGTTCAAACAGTAGAATAGTCAGCAGTGCTTCCTTCTGACCCAGTGATTGCAGTGGCTGGCAAGTTTCCTGTCTTTCAGTGGCTTATGTTGCTGTATCCAGCCATTATGTTGCTCGGTTCCTAGGTTCTTGCTGATCAGCAGCTGCCATTTTTAAAATTTTATATTGTAGTTAGTACAATAATGGACCATTAAATTAATAGTCTTTCCTTGCCCTGTGTTTTCCCACTTGAACTAGAAGCTTCTTTCAACCTTACATTCTGTAGTGGGCACCCTTTTGGATTCTACTCAGACTTGGTGAAACATAACTTTACATCATCCCAAAGGTGCTTTTTCAGCAGGCAACTGGACTTTCTTGTTTTTCTTTGAAGATTTTTCGTTTCTCAACTCTGACTAGATGGTGGGGAATGGAAGGAGAAGTGAAGCATCTTCAAAGAAAAACAAAAAAGTCCAGTTGCCTTTTGAAAAAGCAGCTTTGGGACAACCATGACTTGAATGACTGAGAATCCCCATAGACATATAACTTTACACCCAACACTATAGTTCAAATACTGTACTTAGATTTTTAGCATAAGATTCTAATGACTAAAATTTGGCCCTCTTCCAACTCTTCTTCTTCCTCCAAAGAATTCCAGTTGGGCTGGAAATTCTAGGAACAGCAAGTCCAAGACTCCAAAAAGAATGAGACTTCAAGAAGTAGACTGCTAAGTAGAAAATGTCTGTGCATTTATATCTCTGGGTACATAAGTCAATTGTTTCTATAGGACATCTGAGATCAACATACTCAGTTAATGTATTATGGTCAGACAATCTCTCATTATGTAATGATGAGGCACTGAATTTTTACTAAGTAGACTAGTTGAGGTTAGGTCTTAACATGAACCCTCACTGAGTGGTCCTGGGTTAGTTGTTATTTTTCAGTCCAGCATATTCCACAGGATTGGTATGGGAAGAAAAAAAATGAGATAAAAGTGGGCTATGTATATCTCCTCTTCGAGCTCTTGGAGGATAGCCAGGATATAAATAAATAAAAATGCAGCAGCTGCAATTTATATAATTACAGAAACTCAAAACCAGATTGCTATAATAATGAAAAATTGCACCATTTTATGCTGATTTCCATTACAGAGGTACTTAATATAACCATTACCTCCCACAATTCTAGTCATGGTACCACATCTGATCACAATTTCATACATCCTGGGAATTACTCGATGAAAAATAGGAAGAACGTGATTTTAGGGTTGGAAAATGCAGTTAGCTCATTCATCAATCTCTCTTACCCATTTCTACATAGCTTATGTTTGTAGTTATTTGGGCATATTTCTAGAAAAACCCATATTTCCAAAATCTTCCTAGCATCTATCATTTCTGCAGTCTTGTAAGGAACCTACCATAAGGCACTCAGATGGCTTTCTTCTTTAAACACTTTAGATCTCTATCCTCTAATTATACTTTCTCTGAATTAAACACACCCAGCTCCTTCAGCTCTGCCTTACACACCTTGTGATTTAGAGATCTCTCCCCTAATTTTTCTTCCATTAATCATTATGCTTTTTGACCTTTAGCTCCTAGGTTTTAAATATAACAGCATTATATTTGCAGTATTAAGTAGAATGACATTGAATACAATCAAAGACATATTCTCCTGTACATTTTTATTGAAATGTCAGATTTATACATACTTTCACATTATTTGTTCTATACAACTCTTATTAGCCATAATGACTCTAAAATGACCTAGACTTGATATTCAGTCAGTCACAAACTGACAATTGTTGCAAGTAAAATACACTTATCATCTACAGTTTGGAAGGAAATATAATACATATATGTTCATTGCTGTATATATTAGTTATCCATTATACTTTTTTTTCTTTTTAAAAATCCAACCAAATAGATTTTTTAAACAATAATAATTTGAACTTTTAGGAATGTGTTTCTATTTCTAACCTCTACTCATCCAGAAATCTTAAATTATGTGAAAATGCATTACAATTAATATATATAACTGTGCTGGCTGGATGTAATGGAGTTCAGTTGTGGTCCTATGCATCTGGAGAATATTACACTGGGGAAAGTTGAATTAAACTCTATGCAAAACTCTAGATTCCTCTCCCACACTTCTTTTTGAAAGTTAAAAAATCTCTATGCAATCCATTCCCCCAGAGATCTTTATGTAAAAATTCTTGCATGTAGATAGTTTCACATCTAATAATTTGGATGTGTACATTGCTCCTGTACTATCTGTGATGGCCTTGGGGCAATATGTCTGAATATACAGCATGTTTTTGCAGAGTCTTGCATAAAGAAGGCCATATAATTGCAGAAGTCCCTGGTCCCAGGTATCTATTTATTAAATTATCTTGACATATAGCTATATAATAAGAACTGAGACTCAACATGATGAAGACAATTTGTTCCTCTGCCATGGTGTGTTATGTATGGGAAATGATGAAAAGCAGGTATGATGTTAAATATTTTATTCATATTTGGCTATAACTCAGTGTTACAATTTTGATTGATTAGGATTCCAATATTGGACTACAATCTGCAGCCCTGCTCTGGGGAAACATTGGAAGAGGTAATGAAAGCTTTCAAGAAAACTGTTTGCTACTTGGCCCTGTTTTATGCATGCCCTGTTCTCCATCTGCTGTCATGCCATTCATTTCCACAGATGCAGTAACTTTATTTTCTTGGTTCTATGTATGCAAGTTGCTTACATAAAAAATACAAGAAATGTCAATAATAGGATGTATTAATTTGTGAACAATTCATTTATAGAAGATTTTTTATGTTCAGCACTAACACAAAACATGCATGATATGATATTGTTTACGGGTCATTATTTTGGGGAAGTAAAATCTTTGGCATAGGAAGAGTTAAAATCAAGTAAATGTTTAGCTAAAATTTGACTAGGAATATGTCTGAAGAAATTCAAGACAGTTGCAGATTTAAAGTCAGTGGTTAGGATTACCGGCATTCTAAGACAGACCTTCCCATCCATCATTCTGTTACTATTACACCCCTGCCAATTTTTTGCCCTTTCATATGCCGCGTGAACAAAACCTTGGAGGAAGCTATTTTCTTCTTTGGTACAACCATGATTATTCTCCTTGGGCATTAGATTTATTTCCCACATGCTATACTACAGTGCTTTGCTATATTGCATACTCTGCACAAACATGGTTTAGCTTTCAACAACCTGTTCTTTTAATTGAATCTATGGAGGTTCTCAGCTGAAGAACTGAGAAATGAAGTTTCTTGGATGAGAAGTGAAATGTTTTCAAGGAAAAAAAACCCAAGGAAATCCAGTTACCTTTTGAAAAACACCTTTGGGACAACTGTGACCTGGAGGATTAAGACTCTCCATAGACCAGGGGTAGGCAACCTTGGCTCTTTTATGACTCGTGGACTTCAACTCCCAGAATTCCTGAGCAGCCATGCTGAGGGAAAAGGGAGAAGTTTCCAAGCTGAGCCATGCTGGCTCAGGAATTCTGGGAGTTGAAAACCACAAGTCATAAAAGAGCTAGGATTGCCTACCCCTGCCATAGACATTTAACCAGTTCATTGATTGTTGTTCTATAAGGAAGACAGATAAGAAAAGATATGGGAAAGGATGCACTTTTTTAAAAAAAAGGTGCATTGCTTCATATCATTCACTGGAAATAACACATCAAAAATGATTAGTTACTTCCAGTTTCAAAAGTATGTTAGGCAATGAATAGGCACTGACATAGGCTTTTTTATTATTGTTGATTAAAAATTTTTAATTAACAACTACCCCATAATGTTGAGCAATATACTAAATGAAAACATAAGGCAGACTCCAACTAATTCAGACAGAAATTAAACATTTAATATACTACAGAAATAAGTTTTCAAGAACTCTTGAATGGGTTATATTTTTATTTGTAATTCATTTATATGTTCTAGAAATTAACATTTATTTATGTCTCATTTCTTTCTTATCACACTCTGCAAACTTTGTCCTGCACACACAAAACAATATAGTTAAAGCATTCATGGGATAATTAAAACTTCTGCAGCAATAATAAATTCAGCACGGAAATCAGTTCAAAAAGTGGAGCAACATGCAATTGTAGCTTGTTGTTACTATTTGTCTCAATCCTTCAAACCTCTTTTTCTCAAAATTTCAGTTCATACCTAAATACCTGGACTATATCTTTGTGGCAAAGAGAGATTCAAAAATTCAATCAGGTCCTTCACAATGTCCTGATCTTTCTTTAGCACCCTTTAAACTCTCCTGGGATTAAACAAATTAAATTTGTCCCTGGCTATTTTTAATGTTTTATATATTTTAAAATTGTAGTGTTTTTAACAATGCAAATGTTAAATAATAATATCAATGCCCCCTTGTATGCTTGCTGTTTGCATCTCTTACTGTCTTGTAGGATTTATTTCGGATTTTCAGAACTTTTTGACAAAATCCCTCTTCAGAGGTTTCTGAGCCAATGTAGACCAACCACAGAGATGAACTTGGAGAAACAGTGTGGAGACAGTTAGCAAAATGTGAATTAACCCCAGGAAGGGAAGAAGGCATTAGAAAGAAAATTAAACTGACTCCACCTTGATTATCTTTGATGTAAGAGAGAAGAAAAGGAAAACATTGTCAATATTTCAACTCTTTAGTACTGTGTAATGCATACTACAGCTTGTATCAAAAAGAATTGATTTATTAGAGAAATATTATCAAAGAAGATTTGTTGTGGAATCCTTTTCCTGGCCTAACCTGTCTTGAAGGACTAATAGCCAGCAATAGTATGAATAAGAACCAGAAGGACTAGTAGCTGGTTAAAGAACAAGATGGACTAAATTGAAAAATCTTATATTGGAATCATGTAACAAATGAGATCCTCAAGGATCTGTATTGGGATTTGGGAAGAATGCTTTACAACTTGTTCATATGTAATCTGGAGTTACAACTGAATAGTGAAAGAGCCAAGTTGGCCATGAACATTAACTTTTAGAATGCTAAAAGTAAAAAAGGATAACAAAGTCAACAAAAATTGCATCATCCATGCCAAGTAACTTTGCTTGGATTGAACCACTGAAATGCTATTCCATAAATTGATATGGATAATGATAAAGAATGCTATAATAAAGAAAATGATAAAGAATGCTATAATTCAGCAACATCTGGAGAATCAAAAATTTGCCGTCCCAACATTGGTATAAAATGTAAACATGTTATCCATGGAACTTTCAGAAAACAAATTGTGAAATTGTTCATAAGACACCATCTCATTATACCAGGACACTGGCTTATATCAACTTCCAATCCATTTTAGAGTGATAACAAAGTGCTTGATATTAACCTTCAATATTCAATATCTTGGATATTATCTGTAGGATTTTATTTCTCCTGACTCTGAAATAAATGTAAAGAATGTTTGCTGAATTTACTTGTCAAACGAGGTGCAAATAAGAATTGCTAAAAAAGTTTTAACAGTAATAGGGAGGGTGATTCATCTAGAAATGTACCATTTTCAGCACTGTGTCAAAACCTATTTTCTCTCAGTTTTTCAATTTTACAAATGTGCTTTATTGATTTACATTTCTTGTTTTTAGTTTGGTTTAATGTATTCTTCATTTTATTTTTTATATTTTTTATGTTTTATTTTTCTATATAATAATCCAGCAAGACATAAAAAGCTGTAAATAAATAACATGGATGAACCATGGAATTCAGCATGAAAATGTGTCATACTTGCCATCAACTTAGTTTTGAAAAGGATTAGGCAATTTCATGGAGAATTGAGTGATGATATCAATAGTTCTCATCAATACATTACAAAGACATTATTCTTGAGTGAATGCATTCTAAATGCCATTCATTTGAACAGTAGGTAGCAACAGAAGGATCTTAAACACTTGTTCTACTAGTGGATTAATCATATACATTTAATTAGTTGCTGGAAGAAATAGGTGTCTAGACATAAACAGCTGATCAGATCCAGCAAGTCAGTTAAGCTTTAATATTTCTTACTTATTTCAGTAAAGCTTAAAACATGTTAGATAATCTCAGAATTAATGCCAGTACAATGTTGTTCTGATCTTTTATTTGACTAGCAGAAGAACCAACTGTACATACCCAAATCCATTATGTTTCTTAAGAATCATTCTTCAGTCTCCTTCCTACTCTGTTCTGTTTGTTTTTAATATATCCATATCCATATCCTACCTATTATCAAGGAATTAAGAACAATATACATAACACACTTTTTATACTGTATATGGATATCAGTTCATAAGGTAGACAGAAAGAGAATGGTTACAACTATTAAGACAGCTTTACAGCTGAAGAGGACTGACCTTAAATTTCCTTACTCCTAGTCTGAAAAATAACTAGCACTTTATCTGCTTCATTATGTTGGCTGTTTAACTGAAGCTGTATCATTAGAACAACAATATCTTGCACAAAGAGTCAGGAGAACCAGGAAGGTAACTGGGGCTGTCCCTTGAGTTGTTACCCTCTGTTGCAATAGATTTCATCATTACTGAATGCTGGCAGGCTATTTGTTGCATGCACTGTATATGATAAGGCGTAAGAGTTATTAAATTGATGTTCATGCAAAGTCTTCTCTCTTAAAAGTACTGATGCATAAGCTGTTTCTATGAGAAGAGACAGATGATCTTGAAAAATGTTGGTATAATGATATTATGGGAATTGGAATAGAGCAGATTGATGGGAACATATTGTGAGACATTGCAGATATTTGTGTCTAGAGTCAAAATAAGAGGCATAACACTTTACCTTCTTCCATTATCTAATGGGAAATTAAACCAGTGGTGGGATTCAAATATGTAAATAACCAGTTCTTGGTGTGGATGCCGCTTCCAGAAGTCCATTCTGGGCCTGGGCAACAAAAAATTAACTATTGGTTCTGCTGAACTGGTGTGAACTGGCTGAATCCCACCATTGGATTAAACCCTCCCTTAACTGCACCTTCACATTCTTATTTTTACAGCAAAGACTTTATAGCAAAAGATGATTCTGGACAGCAATGAGATTCTTACATAGTTGTCATTTATCAGGGCATGCTGCCTTGAATGTCTTTCAAGGTAGACTAATCTTTTTTGATTCATTCTCTTCCTGTCCTTAGTATTGCTCCTTTCAAAGTGTCCATTGATTCTACCTGATATTACTAAATATTTGCTTAGGAATCTAGAAAAGTTTAAGAAAATGAATACTTTTCTTCCCTTAGTACTTTCCACTCAAATCACACCTTCCTTAATAGGTTAGTAAATAAACTATAAGTTTTGGAATATAAAATCAAGGTAGAAGAGAAGTATAAAAAACAAATCCAGCAAAACAGGTAATCTGTTAAGAATCACAGGATTAAGAATTCATAAATTGGTCTTTTAGATCATCTAGCCTCCTGGTCCTCAGGGTAGGAATCCACTGAGTCATCCTCAAGTACCCATCCAGCTCTCATGTGAAAATGTCTATTAACTGTTTTATTGCTTATCAAGATTTTTTTCCCAATGCTTAGTTTGAATTTCCTTTGTTTAAATTTAAACCCATCAGTTCTTGTCTCACTCTCAATTTAGATTTGATTTCCCTTATATCTGACAGATTTTAAGATTTTTTTTAGACTGCTGGCATTATCTCCCCTCTTTTTTACTGTTGAAAGCTAAACATACATAGCTCCTTTGATCGTTCTTCATTGAGTTTGGTTTCCATATCTACAGACTCTGATACTACTTATATGAACTCTTATCCATTATATCCATTTTTAAAGTTAATGCCCGAAACTGGACAGTAACTTTAAAAGTGGTCTGTTCAATGGGAATTTTACTTTCCTTAAACTGGATGCTATGCTACTGTTAAAAAGAAGATTTGGCTATACTTCAGCACATGGTTAAAGTCCAGCTGATCTAGAACTTTCTGGCAGACACTGACGCTAAGAGAGGCCTTTCTATTACAATACCTATACATTTGATTTTCCCTACCCAAATGCCAAATTTTATACTTCTCCCAGTGGAAATCATCCTTTTGAATTTGACTGACATGCTTTCCATTTCATCCACTAAGTCACCTATAAAGATCTTAAGTAGGATTGGACCAAAGATGAAGCCTCAGGGAAGCTCACTTTTCTCTGAAAAACACAGAACAATTTGCTTGCACTCTTTAGGTGCAGATGTTCTATCAGTATTTAGCACAAAATGTAGAATACTTCAGTATTTACACACTGGTTTATACTGTGAATGAAATGAGTTCTCACATATGGTAAACAATTGCCATGTTGGACCAAATATCTTTTAGCTACTTAAAAGTTGTAATGCCAAGTGTTCCTACAGTTTTATTCCACAGTGTTTATAATATATGTGACATATGTATATATGTACTAATATTTATCCTCCCTATGTTTTATGTTATATTTCTTTTGCCAATTATTACTTACAAGCGCACTGCTACTATTAATACATATAATGTATTACAATTACCAATAACAATAACATATTGGAAGAAGGTTTTCATTTTTCATTTTTAATAATATATGGACATTTGTTCTAAAATTGGTAAACAGAAACCAGCATGGTAGGACTTTAATTGGTTCTATTACAACCAACATTATTCATAGATTTTGAAAAAACCACTGACCTCAAATGTTGACAGAAATATTTAAGGTGTATCATTAATTTTATTGCTGAAATCAAATAGAGCAGAGGTCCCCAACTATTTGGGTACCAGGGACTGGTTCCTTGGAGAGAGGTTTTTCCACGGACCAGAGGGGGCATGGATTTGTATGCTGCCTGCATCCTGCGGATGGGGCTTTGCTTGTTTGTGCAGACTAGTTGCTGGCATGTCACGGACCGGTATTGGTCCATAGACCATGGGTTGGGGACCCTGAAATAGAGAAAGCTGAAGGAATATTTAAGTTATGAGTAAATACAACATAAAAGCAGTTCGTTATTGCCTTCTCTTCTTTTATGTAGAGGAAAGTGTATAAGCATACAGAAAATATCATTTTAAAAGAATGAAAAAGAAAATTGATTCATAAGCTAAGTTCTTAGACTCTGGTGCTTCACTTTCACAAATGTATTTAAAAGACAGTACTGCAACTAAATGTATAAAGGAAGAGTTTTCTTTGAGTTGAGCAAAACATTTGGTAAATATCTATGGAGGTTCTCAGTTATCCAGGTCATGGTTGTCTCAAAGGTCATTTTTTTTCAATAGGCAACTGGACTTCCTTTGTTTTGCTTGAAGACATTTCGCTTCTCATCCATGAAAAGCAAAAGCATCTTTGGAAACTTTATGAAAATACCCATGCAGGCAACAATACAGAAATGGTTCACCATTCCTTGCTCCCAGTATGTTTTTTTTTTCAGTTTTACAGTCTGTTTTATAGTACTGGCCTCTCCTACAGATTTTAACCAAGTGTGATCCTTTTTTATTTTATTTTATTTTATTTAGCTTTTCAAGATCAATAAAAATCAACAACTACAGTATTCCTAAAGAAAATGATGGTTTGCTTGACAACTGGATGGCATTGTTGTATACAGCTGTGAATCTTAGTGCAAAGCTTTCCAATCACCTTTTGGAAGACAGACATGTACTGGATTGGATTTGGGGAAATGCAGGTCCAAAACTCCACTCAGTTGTAGAGTTCTTCTTTGTAGGTAAAAAATGATTTTGATTTCATACTCTTTTTAAAAGAAACTTTATAATTTTATAAGACCTTGCCTAATGATAATACTAGTCCTTTAATCATATGGGAAAATAAGCAAAACTGGACTTTGTATCTTAACATCACTCTCAAAGACACTGAATATGGGAATTATATGTCAGTAAAACTGTATATCCTGTCACAGAAATGGCCTGGCCAACTATAATTCAGAATTCTCAGGGTGAAACACTGAATTATTTCACAGAATTTGGTTTTTTTTTTTTAAATTGAGGGCATGTGACATTGATTTCCAAACTATTTGTAACGGATAAATAGAAAAGAATAGAGACTTGGTATAGAAAGATTAGCCACTCATGTTGTTTAACATTTCTCTCAGCAAACAAAATGTGCCTTCATTGGAAAAGAGTGTGATTTGTATCATGCATTTTGCTATTATACTTTAAAAATGAGGCATAACTGGCACTTTAGGAATATTGAACACAATGACTGCCTTTATTCAATGCTTCCTCTCCTATTTTAATAATACCAGCCATTTTGTTTCTTGTAATACTTGCAAATCCTTTTGTGGATAAGGATGAATTGGACTAAAGTATCTAAGCGTAATTTTAAAAGTGTGCGAAAATCCATAAAGTGCCAATTAGAATTTCCTATATTGATGGAAATCCTAATTGGCACTTTATAAGCTTTTTGGTTTGCTGGTAAACATCAGAATCCAGCCAAGGAATTTATTAAATGTCTTTATATGCATTTTCCTTGATTATTTATACCTCAGAAAAAATAGACAATATTTAAATATGTTATTGAAAATGCAATGCCATTTTTAAAACTCGTAATCTCTGAGAAGGAAGATGCGGGCAACATGATTCATGATTAAAAGAGTTGGAAAAAAACCTTGGAGGTCTTCTAGTCTAACTCCCTGATCAAGCAGGAAACCCTATACCAGGGATAGGCAACCTTGGCTCTTTTATGACTAGCTGGCTCAGGAATTCTGGGAGTTGAAGTCCACGAGTCATAAAAGAGCCAAGGTTGCCTACCCCTGCCTTGTACCATTTCAGACAATGTTAGATATTTTTTTCCCTCTTTGTATGCCCTGTAATCTCTTGCTTCAGGATGGGGTCAGGGTGATTGATTGGAGCTGAGTGTTTACTGGCTGGATATCCTTCTTAACTCCTATGCTGTGTTCACAACTGATATTTTTTTTTCTTTGTGCCCTGAGAGAGAAGCATCAGTTGCTTCCTAGGACTGGACTCTCAACCTCTTTACCTCTAGGTCACTGCGCTCTCCAGACAACATTAGATATAAAATATAATACTTTGAAAATATAAGTAACATGTTCAATTGTTATCTATTCTCATAATAATAATATGAATGCTGGAGAAGACTCCTGCGAGTCCCTTGGACTGCAAGGCATTCAAACCGGTCAGTCCTAGAAGAGATCAACCCCGACTGCTCTTTAGAAGGCCAGATCCTGAAGCTGAAACTCAAATATTTTGGCCACCTAATGAGAAGGAAGGACTAACTGGAGAAGGGCCTAATGCTGGGAAAGATTGAGGGCAATAGAAGAATGGGACGACAGAGAATGAGATGGCTGGATGGAGTCACTGAAGCAGTAGGTGTGAACTTAAATGGACTCCAGAAAATGGTAGAGGACAGGAAGACCTGGAGGAACGTTGTCCATGGGGTCGCGATGGGTCGGACACGACTTCGCAATCAACAACAACAACAATAATATGAAGCAAGACAGTGTCAAACAGAGAAGCCATGGAAAAACTAGGACTTGTTGATTGACTATCAACTATATTCAAGTATTCTGTCAAAAATAATGCATTTTACAATAATTTTCACTTGAGTTTTCTAGTTGCTAATCATTCACAACTGGAGGAAATGTGATTATTTCACAAATAAGGTTGATCCAAATAATCTTGGTTTAATGGCTTACAGTGTCACTAAGGTTTACCTTAAAAACCTTTTACTTTAAAAACAATTTTCACCCAAGGTCTGGATCAGAAAAAAACAAAACAAAACAAAATCCACAAACATTCTGCAGCAGAACTGGGAACAGAAGACAAAATTTCAATTCAAAAGGGTATTGTTCCCTCTTAAAAGGGTTTTCACTGATTAATCATCTAACATTAAATATCATTCTTGTGCAGGGTGAACATTTTCAAGAACACCAAAGAAAGACATTAGAATTGAAACAGGACACTTCAGAGCATATAAATGGTGTTTGCTGTGAGGCTAATGTATAAATAATAATTCCCTTCTGATGTTAAATAATTACTTTTGCAACTTTCAAAGAGTTGAATAATGTTAGCCTCATAATCAAAACAATTGGCAAACAGAAATAACTTTGCATGAGCATCCCATTGATGGATGACTGAAGAAGGAAACTTCATATCTGTCATACTAAACATGACTTCACATGTTTCCATGACTGGAAAATAAAGAGAGTACATCTTGATCTGTATTGTATCACAACTATAATCTGATAAAATTACATAGAAATACAGCAATAATACTTCCAGTTATCATAGAAAAATAGGAACTATGAAGTTATCTCAATTATCTTTTTCCTGAGCCTTTTCTGAACACAATTTAATGCAACTGAAATATTTTTGAATGCTTAGACTTTGTGTGTGTGTGTTGGGGGGGGGGGTTGATGGAGCTTTGTTCTTGTGGTCTTATTTGCATTTTATGCTTCTATGCAATCTTCCAAATTTTGTTGAATTTGGATTTTGCCCACTTATTAGAAAGCTGTCAATCAGCTTTCCTCATTGGGAACTGCAGTAGCAATAATGATGCTCTGTGTAAGACCTAAATTGTTTACTGTTCTTTTTCTTTCTGCCAGTATCTCAGGAAAAAAAAAAAAGAACACAAAAGGGATTCAGACCGCAATCTAATCATCAAATACAAGTTTCACTGAAAGTTTAAGAAAGTAGGCATTTCTCTTTGGAAATTGTTAGCCACAGTGAAAACATTTTGCAAGCATGTCATTGAATAATATGTCTTTCCTTTAGAAAGAGGGATTTCAAGGACTGAACATATCTAACTCTGTTGTCACACAGAGTTCACCACTGTCCTTTTTGCTAACCAGAAATAATAACAAGCTGAAAAAGAAAGGTTATAATCTGTGGCTGCTCTTCTAAAAGAAATGAGGATATATTTCATAAATAGTTACTCAAATCTTTGGGAAACTGTTATTTCAAAACTAAACAATCTCTCAAACAATTCCACATCAGTGTAGAAAGACAATAAAATCCTGCATTACTTAGGGCTTTCAGAACTTTTTATCAATCTTGGTAAATATTTCCTATAGCAATGGTGGCGAACCTATGGAATGCGTGCCAGAGGTGGCACTCGGAGCCCTCTCTGTGGGCACATGTGCTGTCACCCCAGCCCTGCCTCTCTTCATGGCCTCCTCCTCACCAGCAGCCCGCCTAGAGGAGAGTTGCCCCCAGGCGCGGCCGCATGGAACAGCACAGCCAAGGACATAGCCGGGCAACAGGGACAACACTCTGCCCTCACACCCCCAAGCAAGCAGATGATGCTGCAAGGTGTGGGCAGAGGGTGTGGCTGCCATGACACTGCAGGGCTGCCTGGGCGATCTGCTGTGATGGGCCATGGATGCGGTGCGTGGCCCTGCAGGTGGGTGGGGCAGGGGGTGGGCAAGGGCAGAACAGGCAAGGCAGGAAGTGGAGCAGGGGTGGGGGGCGGTTTTTGGGCACTCGGTCTCTAAAAGGTTCACCATCACTGTCTTATAGAGTCAGCTTTCAACCACAATCACAGCTGTTGATTCAGACAATATTCCCTCTGGAAGGCTAGTCTTTTTTTGTGGGGAAGGAGGGTGTGTATGTGAAAGGCAGCTTGCTAGTCTGACTTCCAGTTTGTGCTTTCCCAGCATACATATCTTAAAGCCATGAGATTCAAAAGTAAAGCACAATCATTTGGGATCCCACATTTCCATACAAATTGAACATGTTGCATCATGCTAGGCGAGGTTCATCCTAGGGAAAATGATTCAGGCTTGCCTCCCTGACCTGGGCAGGCCATGCTTCAGAGCTGGCACCTGTGATCTTCTGATTAGCAAGTCGATGCAGGCAGAGATGTGCCCAGGAAGACATGCAGCAGCACATTTTCATGAATATCAAATACAATTATTTCACACTTTGTTCCTTAGTCATGAGGAATACATGCCGTGCCTAAATTGTTCCCAGACAATATTGGGATCAGTTTTCATATCAATGGAATTAATTACAGTATATGTAGTGAGCATGATAACACACTAACACACATTATTTTATTATTGTGAAAATGATGACGGTGACTATGCAAAGAATAGCTGTGTGAAATACTGAACAGCTTCAGGAATGGGGGCATGAAGCTTACATATTTTTCTTTTTTGCCACTGTTAAATATATCTCTCTGAAATTGATTTTGGCCTTTTCAGGGATGTCTCCATTAGCTTCTCTATTTTGCCTCAAGAGAGAATGAAATGTTGTGAATTTTCTAATGAAAATATTAGACAACTTGGAGTGAGCCTCTACCCTACCTCTTTGCTTTCACCATTCCATTTGAAAAACTAGCATATTCACATTGAGCATTCTTATAATAATAATAGTAGTAGTAAAGTTGGAAGGGACCTTGGAGGTCATCTAGTCCAACCCCCTGCTCAGGCAGGAAACCCTACACCATTTCGGACAAATGGCTGTCCAGTCTCTTCTTAAAAACTTCCAGTGTTGGAGCATTTACTGCTTCTGGAGGCAGGCTGTTCCACTGATTAATTGTTCTCACTGTCAGGAAGTTTCTCCTTAGTTCTAGGTTGCTTCTCTCCTTGATTAGTTATTTTACAATAGAGAAAGGTATTATTTTCTACAAGAATACTCTGAGCTAATCCCAGCCCTGATCCATTGCTGGGTTTCCTGCTGATTTTAGTCACTATGAAAAAGAGCCATAAATGACATAATAAATATCATAGGAATTATATTATGGGGAAGATCTAATTTCTGGGGAAGGAAGTATATATTGAACAGAACCAGGGATTTATGTGTTGGCCTAGACTGCAATTATATTATTGAATGGAGAAAAGATTGTGTAAAATACTTAGGCAATTGATCTCTCTGCTTCCGTATTCCTGTACCCAGAATTCCATGTGCAAAAGTTTAACAAACAAAATATTACAAAAATAAGGGACAATAAGGACCTGAAGTCCTGATTTATAGATCCAAAATATTCAGTGCATGTACATATCATATCGCCATGATTCAGCCAGCCAAAATGTAAAAAAACATATTTAACAAAGAGAAATAAAATAAAGTAAAAGCCAGCAACATGTTTTATCTATTAAGCACAGTCTCACAAAAGAAATTGCAATAAAAAAAACTATGAAAATTACACGGGAAAGTGACTAGGTCTAGTTATACATATTTGCAGTCAATTTGCTTTAATAAAATAGCTAAAGCAATGATAACACTTTTATTGCTGCAATCCAAATGAGCTATGTGATAGACCTTTTCTTCAAGCTGAATATTATGCTAAACAAAATAAAGCACCAGGGAGAATGAAAAGTATTTGCCAGCTCATCATGTAATGTCAGAACATGTGTTCAAAGGGATCTGAACACATTTTGTTCATTTTTAGGTTTACTTAGTTGCATAGCTAAAAACACACAGTGGGATCAATCAGCAGTGAAACTTCCTGAATTTAGTTTATATAGGCCTGACATACTGTCAGCTCCAGTCTGTTTTCAATGTTGTCCAGAAGCAAATATGATAGTTTGCTGTTAAATAAATTATTATTATCATTATTCAGATTTCCAGTCCACTCCTATACTTACAGAATTCTGGGAGAAATTGTAGCAATCGCCTCCAAAAATTGTTGGATTAAAATGTTTACTGTTGAACAAGCAAACATATTTTTTGAGGGGGGAGGATTGGCTAGAATTTTGGAAGAATGTTCCACAAAAAGAAAATGGTACAGTTAGGAAAACAGTATGTCAGCGACAATTACCTGCTGAAGAAAATGTGGGATTCAAATTCTCTCAGCCTCGGAAGAAAAAAATTCTGTAGGCCATCTGTCCAGCTCATTTCTGGATTAACTTTTAAGGGCAACTAAGAGAGCTAGTTGAGTTTTTTGGGAATATTTTAAATGATTTTTTTAAAATTCAATTTGACTCATCTTTAATAATTTATATTAAATATTTAAATAAGAGTTTTAAAGCATTGTTGAAGTCAATATGATTCATTTGAATAATTTAAAATGATAATTTACTTTTTTCTCTTCTTCCTCCATAGGAACTTTTATGACGAGAAAGTGGGAGAAATCTCTGCAATTTAAAAAAAGGGAATTATGTCAGTAATTGTGTGGGTAAACAGTAATGTTTATTCATAGATAATATTTTTTTTGAAAATATACCTTTGTTTTAAATAAAATAAAAGGGTAATAATAATAGTAATAATAATGCACAGCACAGCTGCAGTTACAACTGAATATCTGGCAGACAAAATCAACAACAACAAAAAATAGCCAAATGCTGCATCGCCAAAATAGAAGATCATGTTGGAAAATAACAGCAATAAGTTGGAAAATAAGTTCAGTAAGCTGAGATTAGATTCAAGTAAGCTAGAACAAATTTAAAAAACGAAGCTGAAGAACCCCACTTGGACTGATTCATACCACTCGTGCCAGCAGAATATGCATGCTATGGGTCCTATCAGCCCGAGTATTCTGGCTGGCAGGACCAGGAGGAGAGCTTCCTCAGTTGTTGCTCCTGCCCTCAAGAACATCTTGCCCCTGATTTAAGGTTGGCCCCAACCCTCCATTTTTTTTGTAAGGGCCTAAAGCTATAGCTTTGCCAGTCGGCTTAGGGCACCAGTGGGGGAACAATGCAATGGATGTGGTTGATAGAGTAATAACAGATCCCACCTCTTCCTCCACTCCACTCCCGCCCTCTTCATGTGTTTTTGTTTTTAATGCTTGTTTTAACTTTTTATGCTTTAACTTTTATATAACTGTAAGCCGCCCAGAGTTACCCTATGGTAAAATGGGAGCCCAATACATTTTATAATTAATTAATTAATTAATAAGAACAACCCATTCAAAGAATACATAATCAAGAAACATCATCTAGAAATAAGGAAAATTGAGGAAGTACTGGAAATAATCAAGCAGCAAATAACAGCTATAGCCAAGAAGATCAGCAGATATGAAGCTCGAATGGCAAATTACAGAAAAATCTCCAATTTTAATCCAATCAAAAAAGGTTTTATCAATCCCTTAATGGAGCCACTGCAGTGAATCTGTCAACATTTGACAAAGAAGAAACAGTGCAGTTCTGGGTGCAGATATAGGATAACCCAAAGAAATGTAACAAGAACACAGATAGTATAGGGTTAAAAAAAAGAAGCTGAAATGAAAGAACTTTACAGCAGAAATGGTGGAGAAAAGAGCAAGGAAAATAAAAATTGTTCATCACTAGATGAAGATGAACTGCATGGTTTTAGTTGAAATCTGTGACTGGTCTACATTCACTCTTGCCAAGCAGTTTAATAACATACTGCAAGGAGATGAAACTGAAGAGTGGCAAAACCTACCTGATAATGAAAGATCTAGCAAACATAGCAGCACCAGGCAAGTATAGACCAATTACTTGTTTACCAACAACTTTCAAATTGCTAATTGGTGTGGTAGCTCACCAAAAAGGAAACCACCCACACATCAGAGGAACAAAAGATCAATTCTTAATTGACAAAATGGTTCTGGAAAACTGCAAGAGAAGGAAGACCAATTTGAATGTAGGGAGGATTGATTATAAGAAGGCATTTAATTCCCTTCCACATGATTGGATAAGATTGCCTAGAAATAACAGGGGTCAGTAGAAACATCAAAAGCTTAGTGCAAAGATTGATGACACAATGGAAGACATGGTTGTTGGTCAGTGGTGAGAGACTGGGAGAGGTTAATATCAAGAAAGGAATATTTTAACGAGATTCACTATCACCACCATAGGTTTCATTGCACTGATTTCTCTGTCAACAGTACTGAATAACTCAGACCATGGATATCAAACATCAAAAACATCTGCCAGGCTAGCCCCTCTCCTGTACATAGATTATCTGAAGCTGTATGGAAAAACACAATCTGAAATAGAATCACTGCTCCACATTGTCTATATCAGTGGGTGTGGCCAAGGTGGGTGTGGCCTACTGGGTGGGTGTGGATGGAGTGGGTGTGGCCTACTGGGTGGGTGTGGATGGAGTGGGTGTGGCCTACTGGGTGGGTCTGGCCAGCTCTACATCGTTCGCGTCAAGGATGCCTGTGGGGGCCTGGGCAGGAGTGGGACAGATCTGAGGGTCTCTGGCAGAAGGGGTGGGACCAGGGCAAGTGCCAAGGCATTGTCCATTGGAGGAGCCTCACTGTTTCTCTCAAGCCATGCAGGGGGAGGGATAGATGGTGGTGCGGGCTGCCCGGAGCCCTGGGCAGCAGAGGTCAAATGCCCAGCCTGGCCCTTGAGCACCCGCGGCACCAAGCGCAGCCCCACTTCCTCAAGGCTGCTGCTCAAGGTTCTCCTGGTTCCTCGCTGTTTCCAAACAGCCTTGTGGAGCTAAGACGGAATGCATTTTAGCATAGATGGCCACCACAAAATTTACATTGGCTCCCGACTAGCCTGGGCCAGGGCCAAGGCAGAGGGGGCCATTCCCTCACTGTTTCCAGGATGGCTTCATGGGCCACATGAAACCACTTTGTGGGCCGCATCTGGCCCCCGGGCCTTGTGTTTGACATGTCTGGTCTATATATACAACCAAGATTTGAAATGAAGTTTGGAGTGGATAAATGTGTCACACTCACCATCAAACAGGGAAAAATAGGGGAAACTGAAGGAATCAAGATGCCCTATGGAAATAGCATTGATGGTGAAGATGAACATTACAAATACCTAGGCATCCTTCAAGCTGACAACATCAAGCACACTGAAGTCGAGAAAAAGGTTAGAAGTGAACACATGAAGAGAGTGAAGAAGATCTTAAAGCCCAAATTTAGTGGAGGAAATACCATAAGGCAATTGGATAATTCCAGTCATTAGATACTCAGCTGGAATAGTAGACTGGACTCAAGCAGAACTAAATTCCTGGATAGGAAGACCAGAAAAATAATGACAATGAATCATTGTTAAATCAGGACTACCTGCAGATATTTCTTGAAGCTAGGAATATCAGAACACTTCCGTGTGGCCAACATTTCCTTTCCCCAGTGCCTTTTCAATTTTAAAGACATTAGAAAGGATTTGTGGTAGTTGTTACTTCTACTGACCTTAAAATACTCCTAGGAATGTCACCAGCAATCTGTCATAATCATTGACTCTCCCAATGTGTTGCAGATCCTTGATTACATCAAATTCCTTCCTCTTCACACAAAAACGAAATGCCCACACATACTCAATTCTTTTTTTCATGTTGTGTGAATTTGCTTAATTCTAACAGTAAAAATCTGTATGATTCCTATGAGAGAGAGGGGGGGGGAGAGGGAGAGAGAGAGAGAGAGAGAGGGAGAGGGAGAGAGAGAGAGAGAGAGCTGCAAATGTACCAAGGCAAGTTCCAAGGGACTAGGACAGGGGTGTCAAACTGCCAGCCCATGGGCCAGATGCATCATAACGAAACCGCGCCCACCCCATTGCCAGCAACGACAAAAAAGTCTCAATAAGTCATGACACATCACGTGACATTGCGAGTTTGACACCCCTGGACTAGGAGGTAAAATAAGGTAAGAAATGGAAATGGGAAAATTTTATGTCACAGAGATGTTCTATTTCAAGAAAAAGATTAATCATTTTGCTATGATTTCAAATGATGTAGAAATAAATCAGCTCAGCACGGAACTCTTACTTGCAGTATGAGTACCAATAGATGGGAACCTGGTTCTAAGTTTCAGGAAGCACTTCCAGTTATCTCATTTATGTTTAGCTCATGTGTATGATATGTAGCTTGTTTGTTCAGGATTTCGTAGGAACTTGAAGTAACCATTACGATTTAGTATTTTTTATCAACGCACTAATCTTTAGTCACTTGACCTTTTTTAAAATTCAGAAATGGAAAAACAGCCAAATTCAGTAGAAGAAGCTGCAAATTCTTGCCAAGCTTAGATAAAAGTCTAGAACTGATTAAATTATAGAGATGCCCAGAGTTACTTGGTTGAGTTGGGTGGGTATAGAAATTGAATAAAAATAAAATAAAGATGTAATTCTCCCCCCCTCAACAGATGTACGTTTTCTAGAATTATATCTTAATCCAACCTAATATATGTTGGACCACGTTTTATAGGGACTGTATAAATAGATTCTGTGGAAGCTTTAGCTCACATTAGCAAATTTATCCAGACTAACTGAAGTTCACATTTCTTTTTTTACTTCTGTTTATCAACCTTATTTCAGCTTATCAACCTCTTCAAGTTTCAGATTGTTTAGTAACACCCCAAATATTTATTATATGAAAGTAATTTAATTACTACTACTTTATTTTATTTTATATTTTATTATATTTTATCTATCTTATTTATTGAATTTAATGGCTGTCCATCTCACCACAGAATAACTCTGAGTGGATTACTTTACCTAATAGAATCGATCTATGAATAATAATAACTGTATCAACCATAATTACAAAATCACTATTAGTAAATTGCAGAAGGGAGTTTTACTTGGAACAACTTATGTCCTGCAATGATAGCTTTAACACCCTTAAAACACATCTGCCTATCCCAGATCCTTGGGAAGAACTCGATAGGCAAATAAAAATGCCAAATCCAGACTAAACTTCTGGCTAACCACAATAAGATCAATCCCTTGGCAGCCCTATTAACCCTTGGGGATTCATATTGATCACTTTGGGGAACCCTGGTATAGATCAAGTTTTAAAAATTTGCTCAGTTCTGCTTAAATAATGATTACTATGAAAGAATTTTGGATGAAAAGCAGATAATAAATTCCAAAGGGTTTTTTTTCTTAAGTGAACAAATATTTGTGGATAGTAAGCCATTTTCAAAGTTTATTTTTAATTATTCACAAATACTTTGCTTTGAGATATACAGATTTTTACATGTTTCATCTCTCTCCCCTTTTTCTATGAGAAAAGTGCATACATGCATATCTTTATTATGGTTACTAACTAAATTGCAACAATCACCAGTAGATGGAAGAAAATAAAAGAATTTATGATTAGTTGATTGATGTAATAAGAGTATTCCAGGTTTGCAGACAGTGTGACAAAATTTGGCCATGTTCAGAAAGAGAGGCTTATTCTTCTGTGATAGTGTAATAACAATAGTATGTTG